TAGGACGGGTAGGAAGCTGTCCTTACAGAATATTAATATCTCATTTGTTTGCTTGTAAGGCTCCATCCTCAAAGGTAGAGGAAGATGTGCCCCTCTGATGTGTGGTTGTGTCTACACAGTTTTGCTCATCCGGCTTGGGCTGTATTGGTAGCTGGCATGGAGTCCTGTCACTGTTGGGATTTAGCTGTGAGCCGTTGGAGGTGGCTTAACCGGTTAAGGTCTGTTTGTCTGAACTATGTGCCGTAAGAGCATCAGCTCTACAATCCACTTGATTGAACTGGGCAAGGATGTAATGTAGGATGAAATGAAGGCATTTTTCTCAGCTTGTGTGCAAAAGTAGGAGTTGGAGCTCTGCAGTGTATTATCTGCTGGCTTTTGTATTCAGCACGAGTAAATAAGGCTTGGATAGCATACATTAGCACTCTGGTAACATAGCATTTGATTGCTGGCAGTTGCTTGACTTGTATGTTTTGGCTAAATCTTCACATTAAAAGATTTGCAGTGTCTTTGTCCATTTCCCTTATCAATCAGCAGATGAATTGCGAAACCGAGCACATCCAGGACTGTTCGGCCAGTCAAATCTGGCATAATCAAGCTTGTACTTGGAGGTGTGAAAAGCTGTGTTCTGCAAAGGCTAGACAGCGATTTGTCTGAAGCTGACCTGCTAATCTCCTGTGCTCTCTGCTATATGATGCATGCAGCCACTTCAGCTTCGGAGTACAAGTATCCTCTCTGTGTGGGAGAGGGATTGTTAGAACAGGGCTCTTAATTGAAGTGAGTTAAAAGCTCAGTGCCTCTTTTCTCGCTGTTCCAACAATTCAGGAAAAACACAGCCAGGACTTGCCAAAGACAGAAAATAACAGCAAAGGGTTTTCTTGGGAGTTTTCTCTAAGTAAACTGGCTAGGTGAAACTCCAAAAAGCCATCCTAGGGAGCAGCTGCATACAACTGGGACAGAGGGGAGAGTTGCATGCTTTGCAGCATGTGCCTGCAGTGCTGGTCCACATAAGGAGTGGCTATTGAATGGCAGAAATCTGGTCTGCGCTGTGCTTGTCCCCTTCAAGCCTGCCCTGTTGGAGTGACCATAACCGGATGGGGTTCCTTCTGGGGTTCCTTTCATGAGACTTCCTGAGAGCTGACTCTTCAAGCAGGTCTCTCAAATTCACAGTGGGGGTTAATGGTTTAATAGCTAGTGCTAACTGTACGGAGCAAGGAAGCAGCCTGGTTCAGAAAGATCCAACTGAGTCTGCAGGACTGCTTCAGCTGGTGGCCAATTTGCCTTTATTGTCCCTCAGCTTGGTGACTTGCCCACTGTAGTAGATGGTTCTTATTCTGATGGGCAGCTTCTGGAGATGCCTGGTTTTGGCACCTGTTCTTAGCCTAGCAGTCCTTTGTGCTTCTTTCCAGCCTACCAGGTGTTAAAAGAAAACTTATTTTCTTTTTCCATGCTAAAGGTAAAGCTCCTTGGCTGTCTGCAGTTGTGCTGCCTTTGCAGCTAGGGGAACTGCATCTCTTGGGACTTGTTGTTATTAAGTGCAGGGGAAGTAGCTGGTGTTGTCTCTTGCCCTCTGCGTGTGCTTCCTATTTGAAGCAAGGATTAGTTTTCCACAGAGAGCCTGGCCAGTGCTTGGCAGCTGTCCTCCAGGGCTTCAGCTCGGAGAATGCTAGGTGAAATCTGGGGACAAGGAATTCCTGTGGCATGAAATACTGAGTTATTCTACAGCTTCAAGCTAGTAATGAAAAAGCTTAAGCTTACTACAGAGGAGGTGCTTGGTCAGAGCAGCATGCTCCAGCTTGCTTTTATCGCTTGGCTAAGGCTGTAGAGCAGACTAACTGTAAAAAATAGCCAGATGGGAGGATTAAATGTATAGCCCAATGCAGCTTGAGTAACAAACTGCTTTGCAGCCAGCTACCTGCTAAAACCTGGATCGCTTTTGCATGAAGTGGAAGTGCTACAGCAAGGTGTCAAACTCTGCTTAAGAAGATAGCAAGGTCACTGCTGTTCATACACTGTCTAATCCAGCCTCTTCCTAAAGCTAAGTAGATCTTAAGCTCTGATTAATCTTCTTTGAAGCCTGAACTTGTGCCATTACCCTGCAGCAAGCTCCATGCCACTATCTCCAGTCTTCACTGAATGTAGAGGTCTAGGTTAGCTTAGATCTAGCTGTTGTGGATTTCCTGAGCAAATAGCTCTCCAACTTTATTTTCACCCTTTACAAATGTAGGACCATGGCCAACAGTGCTTTTTCAGACTGGGGGAAACAGTATGAGGCTGCTTAAAGTACCCCAGGAACTCTTGTATCAGGCTAGTACTGACTGCTCAGATTATCTACTAGCCAGAAGGAGGAAAGGCTCTTACTACTTTTTTAATGTTTTAATTAATGGATTTCTAAAAGCCAGCCTTCTAGGGAGCAGCTTTCCTTCTTATTCACTGATACTCCTGATCCTAGTAAAGATGGAGTAAACTTGTTGGGAAGAGAGATTAATGTTTTGGTACTTCTGCTAATCACCTCCTGAATGTCTTAGGCTATTTGAGAAACTAGAGCTAGAAACCTGCAAATGTATATACACATGTATACATGACTGCAACAGAAATGCTATGGCTGTCTTTCAAGTGCAGCTGGAGTTCCGTTTAGGTTTAACCACTGCTAAAACTACTTATGTAGCCTAAAGACTCCTGACTTCTAGAGAAACTATTTAGATCCAAACTGTTCTTTTTAAAAAAACCTCTTGATGTTTCAGTATGTCTGATCTTAACTGGCACTTGCTAAAGGGGGTTTGAAGTGAACATAATCTATAATTATCAGCATGGCAAGGCAGATGTGTGTCACTGGGCACTAGCAATTTAACTTGCATAATATACTCTAGTGCTTTTTAATTACACAAGCGCATAAAGGGTTAGCCTGGAAGAATAGCTGAATACTGTTGGTTTTCAACTATTTTTTTTTTGGCAGGGAGAGTAGAGGAGATAGATGGGTGGCCACCCGTCCTCCAGAGGAAGGAGATGCTAAAAATAAAGTGGAAGGTATCTACGCTGTTGCTGGTGAACAGCTTCTTGTGACTTCTGTTTGTCCCTGAGCACCTGGTGCGTGTGTGTGGCCTGTGACAGGGAATTATTCCAGCAGCTCAAACTGCTGAGGGCCAGGGCTGCAGGGAGAGTGGAAAAAGTGACTCGGTGTGCCCTGAAGGCTCAACCAGATAACGGAGCCTGCAGTAGTTGACTCTGACCTGTGTCTCTCTAAGCTGGTAATGCTGAGGTTGTCTTCTCTGCTACAGACAGTGCTGCAGACCATAAGGGTCTTTGGCTAGAGAAGTCTTTCTCCTGTGTGGAATAAGAGGGATGTTTTATAATGGAAATACACATAGCTGTGTGACCAAACCAGATATAACATAAGCTTTCTGATGTCTTGCTTGTGTTTAGCTGACTGGACATGTACAATAACCCTTTCCAAAAGGAGACAAATATACAAGAGCAGCAGGACACAGAGGGCCTTTGGGGTAGATGAACTAGCACAAATGTGGTGTTACTGAGATCCCTTTCCCCACAGCAGCAGTTACCTCTTGCACATCATCACATGGGTGCGTGAGAAGACATGGAAGAGTGATACGCTCTTGTTTAACAAAGCAGTGCTAGGCGTCTTGCTGCTGCACTGTGTGTGTACAAATGCAAGTAATATTTATCTGTGTGCTGTTTGGGTGGGGAAATGAGTCTAGCAAGCTGGGAGACTCATCCTGGTGCTCATGAGTGAGACTGCGGAGGGTGATCTGTGCTCTTCTTTGGAGGGCTGAGGGGTGGTTCTGACAACTCCAACCTCTTTCCTTACTAATATTCATTAGTCCTGCAGCTCGAAGGTAAGAGCAGTTCACTTGTGAAACTGAACATACCAGCCAAAGCAAGTGAAGCTGGTGGTTGGAGGCTTCTTCCAGTAGGGCTTGACCATGCCACTGACAAGCTGCCTCCTGGAACTGGGAGGAGGACCTTGCCAGATCTGCTGTGTGGTGGAGGGCTGTTTGCTCTGTGTGTGACTTGTGTGACCAACTGTCCTACATGGCGTGAGTGGGGCCTTGGATGGGATGGTCTTCTGCTGTTGAACTATGGTGCAGCAAGCCCAGGACTGAGAGGCACCTGCCCTGAGGAAGGTGGCTGGGAGCAGGCGGCTGCTGCTGCGAGGTTCTCCATCTGTCCGGCAGCCTGAGCTGTGTTACTGGAGGCCACAGAGCCTGCCAAGAGCAGGGTGTCACCTGGCTGGATCACTGCTGGGCTACTGGTTCAGTGCTCTCTTGGAAACTCTTGAAGCACACAATGATTATACACATAAAACTTTCTGGAAGTGCCTCCGTGGTGCAGTGCAGCGTAAACACTGTGCTAATGCAGCAGTGCTGCTGTCTGGGCTGTAGCCTTTCTCTGTGGGGTCAAGGAGCTCATACAGGACATGACACTAATGCAGCCCTAAAGCCTTCTCTTTGGGCTCTGGTCCTGTGTTGTGCCCTATAGACCCACCTTGTTCTCTGTGTAAGTTCCTTGGTTTCCTTCTGTGCCAATGCGCAGAACAGGGCTTGCCATTAACAGGCCTGAGACTTCAGTCTGGCCCTGACAAGTGTCGGTCCTGGACTTGGTAAAGGACAAACAGGTTGATCCTCATCATATGCTTGCAAGTCTGATGCCTGCTGGGTAGAGCATAGCACTCTACCGCTGGGGTGAGATCTTGGCAAGGTCTGTCTTGGGTTTCAGATCCAGATTTGGTTTTGTCTGGCATGAGACTTCAGATTTGGTAGGCTAGGAACAGTAAAATAGATGGAGGGATCCATTGCGTGGGATGTGTAGGAGGGATCTGCTCAGAACTGGCCATAGACTAGCATGCTTGGAACTTGTCACCCAGTTATTTAAGGCCCTGGGTCAATAGGTGGTTATGGGTATGTGTAATCTTGGTTCCTTTTTCCCTTTCTAGGTCTTTCACTCTGGACTTGTCAGCCTTGCAGGCTTCTGGGCACATCTCAGCTATGAGTAGATCAATAGGATTTAACATCTATGTGGTCACCTGCAGCATCCTGCTCTTGTCCTCCAGTCCACCATGCCTTGCATCTCAGCCACTGGAGGAGAGGGACATGACAAAGGTCCAGCATGGCCCCTGGGCAGGGAATGGGGTAGAAGACGAAAGGACAAGCATGCTGAACTTGAAAAATAACCTGGGCCCTTCTGAGCAGACCGTCTCTGAAGAGCCATGTGGAGTGTCAGCAAAGCCATCTGGGATGCCTTTAAATGAAGCTCTCACTGCAGAAAGAGAAATGCTGCCTGTAAGCCCGAGCCGTGTTATCCCAGGCAGCCAGGGCCCGGGTGCTCACACCTCTGCTGTGGCAGTGGCTGCCATAGATGAGGAGGAGCTGGGTCCCACAAAGTCAGAGCTGGATGAAGATGATTCATTCAAGGCCATGCTGACTACAGCCGTGACCATGCTGAACCCTGCTGTCCAGGAGGAGCCTGTTGGTGGCCCCATTAGCGAGACCACCACAGAGGGTGGTGTTGAAGTAGAGTACAACTCTGCTGGCCTCTCAGCAAACCCCCTTTCTGGGACAGCTGTGGAGGAGGAGGAGGCAGAGAGCAACTTGCACCCCTCAGCTGTGCCCCAGTCCACACTGTACCCCAGCTCTCCCAGTTGGAAAATAGCAAGCGACCACCCTGTCATCCCGACTCCCCAGGCTCATGGCGTGACCTCCGAGGTGGGAATGCCAAGAGCCTGCACAGGGAGCCCTCTGAAGTCCCTGGCTGTGCGAGCATCTGTGGCTGCAAAACGTCCCCTCGTGGTGACTGAGGCCTCCCTCCACCTAGAAGCAGGGACGGGTGTCAGGCAAGGAGAGCTGCCTGCTACAGCTGGCACTGTCACCATCCACCTGATGGACACTGTCCCACCTGACTGGGATGACACGAAACTGGGGGACATAAGTCAGGGGGGAAGCATGTCTCATGAAGAGGTGACAAAGGACCTGGGGGCAACAGAACCATCCCAGACCCCACGGGGAGGTGTGGGGGAGGAAGAGGATGCAACAAGCGTGCTGCCATCCCCAGTGTCCTCTCCGCCAACTCCTGACCTTGCCAAGGAGACCAACTGCACAGCGCCGGTGCAAGGGGAGGAGTTGCCGGCAGCTTCCACAGGCAGCAGTGATGCTCTCCACACTGTGAACCTGACGGGTGTAGACGTGGCTGATCTCAACTCTCTGGAAAACATAAATGCAGTCACAGCAGAGGAGGGGAAAAGCATCCTGCCATCACAGCCGGAGGCTGCTGTGGTGACAGGTACACAGTCTGATCTCTCTTCTACTCTGGAAAGCTCATGGAAAGGTAAAAACTTGCCTGTTAAGGACACTTGCCTGTAAGTGTAGGTTTAGGAGGGATGCTCTTGGGAATCTGTGCTCCCTGAAAGGAAGATAAAGTGGAGAAAGGTGTGGTCTTGATACCTGCCATAGAGGTAGGACACCTCTTGGCCCCCCCCTCCCCCAGGAAAGGCTGTGGACCTCTGTGGAGGGGTAACAGCCTAAACAGGTAATTCACATCTGTAAAGTACTGCCTAGCCTTGGCTGTTCCTATACATGATGTCCCTGTGTAGAGGTAGGCACAATATGTTGGGTGGTATCCTGTCCTGACTGTTACGTGAAGCAACTGTATTGAGCTGCCTCTTCTGCTCCTCAAGCTGAGAGGGTGGCTGTAGTAGCAAACAGGAAAGCTGAGACTGGAAAGGCTGTGGCAGTTGAGCCTGGGGTTGAAGGGTGTACTTGAGTCTGGAGGTGTCTGTAGAGGGTCGGAGTCTCATCAGCAGAGACTTGGTGCTGGTTATAAGAACTTGCTTTGTTAGCATTCTGCATGTGTGGTGTATTAACCAAAGCAGGGCCTTCAGTTTTGGTGCTCACGTAGTGGTTGAGGGGGGACAGCTGTAGTCTGCTTGTAGGCAGCTTGCCTTGGGCAGATACATGTAAATCCGTTTTGAGTAACCCTCTGGTATGCCTCTCCTGTGACTATGGAGGGAGCCCAGCCTCTGACCCACTGGTTAAACACTTTATTTCAAGGAGGATCACGCTCCCCAAACGTCCCTTTACGACAAGTGCAAGGACTCAAAGGTGGTCCTTGCAGAGCTTCAGAGTGAGCTAGTGCAAAATGGAGGGGGGAATAATTCCTGGGGGATTAAATTAATTAGCATCTGGGATCACCTGGCTCTCAACTGCTAGCTATGGACACTTGCAGTCAGTGCAGAAGATGCAGAGACAGTGGATGGCTGTAAATGCTTCCCAAGTCCAGGAATAGGTGATCCGTCCCAGTAGCCTGTAAGTAACTGACATCTTCTGTGACTTTACAAGGATGCTCAGATCAAAAGATCTGTCCAGAGCTCTGTGCTGTCCTTTGTAACAAAAGCTCCTGGTGTTGTCTCCCCACCCTAGAGTGAAGCTGTGGCCGGGCTCTGACTGTCCAGGGTTTGTGCCAGCTCTGTTACCAGCAGGCAGAAATCTTCCTCCTGGACAGCCTGCCGCAGGCTGATGGTGTCACCCTGTACTGTACTTACCTGCAGAGATGGCACCTCCAGCCTGCTGACAATGTTTCCACTCAGTAGTTTAAAAAAAACTGGTAGAAATGTGGGGGGAAAGTTCCAGTCAGGTTTTAGCCTAGGAGCTTGTCACTGCCCAGTGAGGAACACGAGCTGGGGTTTAGGACTTTGTTTTAATTGCTGGGCATCTTTAATCTTCTCCCTTAGGCTGCAGGGGCAAAAGGATGACTTCCCCTCACTGCATCCAAAAGATCTAGCTTTTGCTGTAAAAGAAGGAAAGCTAATTGCATGTTGGTGCTGAAACCTGACTGATTAATTTCTAGATTAATTTATAAGTACTTGACTTGTCAGCAGGTTCCCTCTCTGCTGTTTCCCAGATGTTGGGGAAACAACACTATCAATAAGGCTTGTGCAACAAAAATAAAGCCTTCTACAAAGCTGAAGTCTTGTAGCCATGAGAGCCGGTCACTAAAAGCACTGCTCTGGCAGCATCGCTTGCTTTGAATGGTATTTCACATCACAGGCCTGCAGTGCTGTGCTCCAATGGTATTGCTCTCCTGTGGGCCCACTTTTTCCTAAGGGACAATTCAGAAAACAAGGACTGATTCTGCTGCTTCCATTGCTGTTATGCGCATTCTCACGTCTGTCTTTATGCTGCACTGCCCTGATGATACTTGGCCAGACCTGCTGCTCACACTGTGGCTCTGGAAATGCTAACGCATGGAGTTGCATTACTTCAAATGTCTGCTCCGTTGTCAGCTGTCCTGTGAGTTGGTACTGACACATGTTCTTGCTGTAGGTGTTACTCAGGAGGTGACAACAGTTGCCCAGGAGGCTGATGTTGCTTTGTCAGTTGTGACACTGGTGCCTGGTGCTACCCAGGGAACAGGAGCTGTAAACCTTCCGCAGGAAAACAGTGGGGAGGACACCCAGATGCCGACGGCTCCCAGTGCCACCCACATGCTGGAGGCAGCTGGTACTTCCTCTATGGCGAACGCTCCAGATGTAGAAGGTAGGGTTCTCCTTCAAGGACTCCGGGTTCACTTCCACGGAAGATGAGATAGTACATCTGAAACAATATCAGTGCTTGGACACTGAAGTCTCAACAGACAGCATCCATATTCTAAGTGACTTTTTTCTAGCCTTCTGCAGGCTGCCTCTAGCCCTGGGCTGCCACTGCTTTCTGCCCGTGCTACCAGATCCACCATGATGAAATATGCCAGCATATGTCTTTTGCCCCAAATACCCGTGGAGTAGAGATTTAAAAAAACAAACCACCCCAAAACAAACAAACCCCCACATCCATCCTTGCTAGCAAGTTGACTTTTAGCCTTAGACATCTAAGCCAGTTCCTGTTTATGGAGGGAGAGCTCTTACTACTGGGGCCAAAGGCAGTCACAGATTGCTGATGCTCAGTGCAAAGGACCAAAAAAGTTTCACATGGGAGCAGTGTAAGGTGGGGGGGGATTGTGTGGTGTGTGTGTGACCCTCTGGCAATCCCTTGGGTGTTGAAGCCTGCATTGATACTCTCTTCCATTGAGGAATGGTGAGTTCTTGCTTCTTGGGTTGGCGTAGCTCATACAGAAATGCTTTAAGCAGTCGTGTTCATCCAGCTGCTGCCTATTGGCTCAATGTCACCTTGGCAGGTACATGTAGGAGCCTGTCGTCTTGACAGGAGTGTAGCAAGGGTTCCCTTAGCACAAAGCTGACTTTGAGGTTGAGTGTATTTCTGTAGTAGTAGGTACCACTGTAATGAAACTGCTGCTGGGCAGCTTTTCTGGTATTATATTGCAGGGCATCCAAAAAAAATTTGCACTGTATCTCTTAAATTAAGGTCCCTTTGTAGGGGAGAGAAGGCTCTTCTGGCAATTTCCACTAATTAATTTGCTTCTGAGATTTAATTATAAATTCAACTAATTTTTATCTTTGCAATAAACAATTAGATCTGGCACTTGGTTCAGATCTCAGCCAGTCTCTCAGTGCTCTGATCTTGGTATGGGGTGGTGACTAGCAGTCCTCAAAGTAATGGAAGTAAAATCTAGCTGAGTTCTCATTAAGGGGAACCTCCTGTGATGGAGGAGAGCTTTCATTACAGCAGTCACTTTCACATCTTGAAAAAAGCAAGAGTTTAATAACTTCTTCCACTCCGAGTTAAGTTTTCATTAAGGAGTTTGTTCTTAAATGGTGGGGTTTTAAATGTTTTTGTGCCAAACTGCTGCTCTCTGTGTCTCCTGTAGATCTCACAGATGTGGTCCTGGTCACCAGTGAGAAGGCTGTGCCAGCTCCTGGTGGGTTGTCTGCTACCCAGTCTGAACAGACAGAGGAGCCATCCAGCAGAACCATGGTCCTGGTAACTCCAGCATCAATGGCATCCTCTGTCAGGAGGACAGCTCTTCCATCTGTGAGGAAGATCAGTACAGCTGTGACCTATGGGCTGGACCGCCTGGAGTCAGAAGGTACCACTGATCCCAAGGCTAAGAGGCGGGCAGTTTCATGTGGAGTGGCACACTTGCCTCGACACTGAGCTCCCCAATTTGTCTGTCTGGCATGCAGCTATGTGCATATGTTACTGTTGCTAATAAAGTTGTTGGCCAACCTGTCCCCTTCCAGGAGGTACAGGAAGCAAGCAGTGAACAGTGTCATGGAGGATGCTTGAAATTCAAGTGGCTGAGGTGGGAGTGATGGGGTTTTCCCTTGGAGAGGGAGCAGCGGTGGTATTGCTGTTGCAGTAGAGTCTGGCTCTGTGCACCTATAACTGCTGGTGTGTGCATTGACTGCAGAGCCTCTGTACCAGGTAACACTCGTGGGAACATGTCCAGACAGCTGGAGAGCCCTTTCTGCCCTACTGCTGAAATCCTCACCACATGGTGAGGTGGGATGTTCAGCATGAGATGGCTACCACGGTGTCCACCTGTGTCCACCCTTGCCAGGACAAGTGATGCCCTATTTACACTCCCTATGTGACACTGCTGGGAGAGGCAAAGGATGCATCCCCTTCGAGATGGTCTTCCAACTCAATGCTGCCTGCTAAGCTGTTCTCCCATCACTGGCTCCTCCAGCCTTGCCTCACCCCCTGGGCTCCCTTCTCTTAAGCTGCTTTTGCCCACTGCCAGTCTTGGAGTCTCTGCTCTGACTGGCTTCAGACAGCTGAAACCCAGTGATGCAAATTCTGCCTGGGCAGACACCCATTGAGAGATGTTTAGGTGAAGCAGATCCTACTCTGGAGTTGGTCTGCAGCTCAGATCTGACATCTCTTCAGCCCATCCATAATTTTCCTGCAGAGAACTGTTTCACTTCTGCTTCTTGCTCTTTCTTCTACTTAAACTCTTCTCTGCTTGCTCATCCATCCAGTTTTGCACTCCAGTGTCTGGACTGACACCACCTGGCAGGGATTAATCTTTCTGCCTGTTTTGCTCCCCTTCCTTTATCTTGACCTTCTCTTGCCTTCATATTTTACTGCAAAGGTTGGCAGCCCTCCAGGGGTGGCATGCCAGATGGTATTTTTCCTCTGATTAGAGGTGGGGTGCCATAGACAACAGCTAATTAGCATCTTTTCTCTGCATGAAGTGATAACTCTCACTCCTGTTAAGTTTAGAGGCCAGCAGAAGCTGGGAGCCCTCCCCACTGCATGTGCGAGGTGCTGTAGCTCCTGCCCTTTGTCCAGCTTGCTTTGAAGCCTGCCATGAGCTCTCTGGGCCTCCAGCTACAGCCCTCACCCCTTGCCAGGATGAATCTTGCATGTACCTGGCAATGCAAGGATGTGGTGCTGATGGTGGGAGAGTGGCAGCAGGGGAAGAAGGGCATGTGTGGGGAAACCTCATCTTTCAGGCTGGGAAGTAAGGTCTCTGCTTAGCAAGAGCAGTATGATTCAGGAGGCTAAACTGTTTCTGAGTCCTCTGGGATCTCCTTTAGAAGCCTGGTTTTCTGCACAGGAAGATAAGAGGGATTTCTGTTTCAACTGAGCACTGGTCTCTCCCTGTTTAATGAGACTTTCTGCGTAGGCATTTAAAAAAAAATCTTTCTGCTCTGATATAGGACTGCTGCAACTTTCTTGGGTCCCTACTGAGCTCTTTTATGCAACCACAGGCCTGTTTTCTCTGCTCTTGAATATGCTCTGAGCTCCTCTAAGGGCAAATGTGGGCTGTAGCTAGGACCAGCTTTCCTAAATGATGATGACTCAACTAGAAGGCTGTGGGTTTCTTGGCTCTGGTGTATGGCTCTGCAGGTGCCTGTCATCCAAGGGACATGGTGCTCTCTGGTGTGCTGTGTGGTTTTGACAACTGGCACAGCTTTTCTGGTCTAAATCTCTTCTGATCAACCTAGACCTTAGTGCAGTGAGCCAGACTCTTTTCCTGGTATTAGGGACCACCAATCCACATCTTGTAAAATGGGACAAATGCCACTTGGGGATAGGCTTTCTGCCTGGGGATGCTACTGCCCCAGTTAAGTACAAAGAAAGTTTTTGAGCTGCAACTCTGCTTTCTGGTATCTTTTTCTGTGTAATGACAATTAGGGGGTACCACATCCTCCTGGTGGAGTGGCATTTGGAAGCTTGGTTTCTGTTCCCCCAAAACTACAGTTCCTAGTGCTTACTCTGAGAATATCTAGATGGTGCCAGATACAAGATGTTTGGGAATGCTTTCCTATAAAGCTACACTGAGCCCCAGCCCAGGGTGCTCAAGCTCTTGGGGGATGCAAGGTCAGACATCGCTGCTGTTGCAGGCATATGCTGGAGTCCCTAATGAGGGATCCTGGCCCTTTGCAGGGAGGCTGTGCCTTGCTCACTGGTGGAAGAAGTGCAAGGAGCTGAGTGAGCTTAGCTGGTCTCCACTGCCATCAGTGGGGCTTGCTGACTTGCCTGGCTCATCATTAAATATAAACCCTTGTTGTTCAGCTAGCTCTGTTTCTTGGGGACCATCTGTGCCAAACTGCCTGCAGTTAATTGCATCAGTATATTCACCTACCTGGCTTGGATGCAAAACCATTTTCAAAATCAAATTGCACAGACAAACATGAGGTGCTTTGAATATGTCTCTAGATGAGCTTATCCTCCTCTCTAGTGGACTCTGGAGACACTAGCTGGGTGAAGAATATCTTCCTACCTTGACTCTGTGGTGAGACTGGTTCTACTTGCCCTTCCTAGCCAGAGAAATCCTATAAAGGGATTATAGGATATGGGGATGGGACACAGCAGAGGATGAGGCTTACTTGTCTGGGAGACTTAATTATATATTTTGTTCCTGTGCCCAGAATTTGTACATCTCTCCAGCAAGCTAAACACTGCAGCCTTCTCTGTAGGGCTTCTAGGGTCCAAAGAGATATAATCTAGTTGAACTTGCCTACTGGGACCACTGTGTAAGCCTCCCAATGCTTTTTGAAAAGTGGCTCTTTTGAAAGAAACCACATTCCTTTTGGACTAGATTCCTTTGCTGTAACATCTGCCATTGGTAGGTATTGGCAGAGATGGCCGTGCTCCTTAAGCGTGGCAGCATTTGGCAGATACAACTTTCCAAAGCGGCAGGTAGCCTGCCACATTCCCTCTTCTGCAAGATCCTTGCAGTGTTTAGTTGGAACCTGGTGGACAGAGCACAACAGTAGTTGGCTCCTCTTGGCTGTTCCTCAAGCAGCTCCTGTCACTGTTCCATACGGGATGTGATCCAGGGATGCACTGAGGCTAAGCAGAAGGTAGGTTAGTGCACTTCCTATGAGGACCTTGAAGGTCACGTCATCCTTGCATGCTAATCCTGAACCAGCAGTTAGTACAGAACTAGTGTGCTGCCAAGAGTGATGCCTCACCCATCACAGCCTGGGTCACAGGCCAGTTCAGTGTGAACAGCTTATAGCACCATTGCCTGTGGCTGTTGGTGAGGGTGGGTCTGTGTCTGTCAATGCAGACTCAAGGTTTGTTTTTTCTGGGGTGCTGCCACCCTGCCTGGACAGCGAAAACTCAGCTGAAATGGCTGGAGATGGTGATTGTGGAGCAAGGCATGTGGATAGAGAATGGGAAGATGTCTCAGCATTCATCAAACCATGCTAAGATTAACCTCTTCTGATGTGTAGGGCAGGTGTCACCATGTTACCTTCCAAGGCTGCCCAGATGCAACAGTAACAGCTGCTTCTTGAGGTACCTGTGTTTCAACCCACAAGTCCATAGAAGCCCTTCAGTTATTAGACCCCCCCACATACTGCCCTTGCTGCATCCAAGCTCATCAGGAAAACTGTTTAAGCTCAATGCTACCCACTCCCTGCAACTCGGTAAGCTCCAGCTTGGTCCATTTCAGCATTAATTTGGGATTTAGGCTGTTTACTTGTGATGAGTTTGAGATGGAGGGAGGAACAAATAATCTGGCTCTTGATACTCCTCGATAGGTGTTTTGAAGAGAACTAAAAAGTGTTATGCGCTGGTGTTTCTGATGTGCCTGTCCTATTTTTTGTGTACCCCTTACCCCCCTCAAATCCAAAACTGCTCTGCAACAGTGTGTAAGCCCTAAGGCTGGTTCCTGTTCAGTTATCTAGGCTTGCTTCAAGCTGTCGTTGCTGGGGGTGAGCTGCTTACACAGTTCAGCTTTCATGTAGGCTGCTGGACGTGGAGGGTGCTTAGAGCTTTATAAAAGCAGAAGATGCTCTACATGTTGTATGGTGTCGGGAACAGCCAATAGCTCTGAAGATGGGCAACTTAAACTCAGCTGCTGTAGAGGGAGATCTTAACTGTGTAGCTCTTGAATGTGAAGTGTTCCTGATTAATCAGGCTGGCTCTCAACAGGCAGCTGGCAGGATCCTGGTCACTAGGGTGGAGGAGTAATCCAGGGGTTGGAAAGGCAGTGTCAGATGTCTGCTGCCTAGGACAGCACAGTGCTGCTTCCAGTACTCTGCCTGGTTAGCTGGCGTGTCCCCACCTAATGCACCATTTGGCTGTGGAGCATCCCCTCCATGATGCTGAAACACAGCTGGCACTGTCCTTGGGATCTGCAAATCCAGTGTCTTGCAGTCATGGGCCACCTCCCCTCTGAGCCTTGGCTGTGGGCTTCACTGCACTTGCTCCGGCTACTGTGTTAAAGGCTGTTCCAGAACAGTGCTAGTATGAAGATTTAGACTTTCTGACCTTAACATATTTGTGATATTTTAATACCTGTTTGGGTTTAAACAGTTCCTATTGCTCTTTGCTGACCTGCATACTCAAGTTTACCCTTCCAAGGAAACTGCAGCTTAACTAATTTCAGTGAGAAGAGCTCTTCTACCCCTCTTCTCCATTCTCTTTTATTTCCCCTGCTTCTCGTTCTTCTTGTACACAGTCACCTAAGCTGCGTGTCATACCTCAGAAGTGAAGGCAGGGGTTGCCTTTTTTCAAAAAATACTTCAGAACTTGTAGCCTTTTACATAATTTTATAGAAAACCCTTCAAACTCTCCTTGCATTTTTCTTCTGAGCTGTGTCACAGTACAAGGAGCCTTCTTTTT